CGTTCGTTACCTTATCATTGGTCGGACGACTGGTAGAATTACTTACACATTGTTATACAGTGAGACAGCATAGAATAATTGTATTAGTATTACGTCGTGTGTTGCGTAAATGCGCGGACGTTTATACTTAATAATTTGAATGGTTTTAATAGCAGTGTCCAGCATACCAAAAGTTCAAATTGAAATTGCCAAGTTACGTCTAATTAAACTAATTTAATGTAATAATATGAGCTAATAGTAATAAGTAATAATAATAAATTATGAATTATAATAAATAATAATAAAAATTTGTTTTTGCATATTTTTGCATATTTTGGTAAATAAAATGCATATTTTACAATTTGTTATTGCATATAAGTCCTAGCCCTACAGTAATAAAGTACAGACGTAAAGTCCTATTCAATGTGCGTGTGTCACAGATACATACAATATACATCACACATATAACTATATTTTATGATTTATCGATACTGGGTTGAAAAATTATTTCTAACAACCTACAATATTAAATAAAAAATATTAATTTCTGGATCATTAAATATTATTATTATTATTATTTCTTATTAATTATAATTTTGATAATAAAACCAGAATTGTAGTGTATCTTGTATCGCATCATAAATTATTTTATGAAATACTAAATACATTGACTAAAAATTTATCGCGATACAAGATACTCGATACAAGATACAATTGTATCTACGATACTTGTATCGAAGATACTGCCCAACCCTGTGCATTCTACATTGAAATTTGGCATTCCCATCATTTCTTTCAAAATTACCTTTTGATATAGGTACCGATTGCGATGGGTATTTTCTGGGTTGATAAACAAATTTCACTCAATCTTTTCTGGATCGATAAACCAATTTGCGATCAATAAAAAAAAAATATTCAATGAACGTCATTATTAATTGATATAAATAATATACATGCATAATTTAAATTTAATAAATGACTATTATAATAATATCATTCTGCATTGTATTTACTTTTGTAAAAATGTGCATTTATAAATAGATTTTTTCAATCAATAAAAAAATTATATAATTATATAATTAACTATATCTTATCCTAGTTTATCCTATATCTATAAATGGCTATACATAAATATWAAATATAAAATGGGACAGTAGGGACCATTCTACGTATCTATGTTACCGGAAATGTTGACATTTAGGAAATGATGACAATTCCTAGTAGCGGAAGGAAATGATATCATTGCCTAGTTCATGTWATCATTTCCTAACGATATCAGGCAAAGATGCCATATATATTTTTCTTAGATATTTTAATTTAATCTGTCACAATTATTAATTAGTAATTAATAATTACCCTGCTATTACACTAATAAATAATCAATGATCAATATTTAATAAAAAATTAAATATATTTTTTTTTTAATCACTTTATTAAATTTTAATTCACATCAGCTTTTTATTCAAATCCATTTTAACGAAATAATAGGTACGTACTGTACTAAGAAGATAGGCACACACTACTAAGCGGACCGTGTTGTATGGACTGCAGGTAGGGACACTTTTAATAAAACACGTAAATCGTACGATAACATATTATGCGATACCTATGTGATACCCATGGGCCATGACATTTTCCAATCAACCATTTTAACGATATCAGTCTTTACCCACCTGATATTTTTTTATAGAACACCGACATATTGACAGTAATGGCAGTATAATGGTTTTTAGCATCTCACCGTTCCTAGTTGGTTAATAGGTAGTTATCGTTATAATAGSTTTATATATATAAATAAATAAAATCATAAAATATTACAGTTTTAGCCAATAAAAACACAAAAATATGTAAAATAAAAATAGTATTATTAGATTCAGTAAAACATGAATTAAATTTGTACCTACGTGGCTAGGTTAGCATTAAATTTAATAAATAGAAAAAAATATGCAATTTCATAAACATCCGAGCYCTAGTGATAACATTGCCTAAAAAAGTACGGAAATTATGACAATTCCTAGGCGATGATATCATTTCCTTCCACTATTAGGAATTGTCATCATTTCCTAAATTGTCAACATTTCCGGATTTCCGGTAACATCTATACTGGCTATACTGTACACCTACTTATCAAGTGGGTCACAGTAATGGATGTGTTAGAATTACATTGAAAATTATGAGCTATAACAATTATTAATTTTCAGTCCCTTGGCCCTTCCTCCATTGAAAAATCATACGTAGGTACCCATCCTTGGTAGTTATCATTTCATCAATAAATTGCCTCACTAAAAATATATTTGCATACCTAACCTAGACCAGTGAGACCACTTATATACTTTAATAGGTGTACACATTTAATTTTCCCTGCTACTATCTACAATAATCTAGTGAGTAGTGACTAGGGCATTCGTCAGTAATTTTTCTATAACGAGCTATGGGTTATTCGTTTTTTTCCAATATCACTAAATATGTCTATTCCAAATCGTTAACATTTTATTAAAGTGAAAGTGATCACATATATATATAAAAAATATAAATTATTTCCATAATATATTAATGGTAGATAATAACTCCTCTCAGGGCCGGGCCGAGGGCCTGGCAAGGTGGGCGCCTGCCAGGGGCACAAAATATGATATAGTTAAATTTGAAAATCTAGGGAGGGGGCGCAAATTTTTATTTTGCCAGGAGCTATTGATCGGCCCAGCCCTGTTTCCTCTATATAATAATTAATAACTAATAAGTTGAAAGTACCTATAACCAGCAAGAATTATCAAAATAAAAACACGTTTTTAACATACACTAACCCTAAAAATTATTATTGAATATCTTATCACGGCATTTTTTAAAGTATTTTTGTTAAAAATATTCGCTTAAGTTCAAGTGGACACCCAATGTAGTATAGTTGGACGCAGTGGACACGCAGTAGGTAATTAAATAATTCAGCCATTAGGTGCCTGCAGATGTTCTGTATATTGAAACAACAATACTTAAGGATAACAATAATTATTTACTACAAATTTTATATTTTTATTTGTTATGTAAGATATATATATCAAACAACAATATTAGTTGACAGTTGTCAGTTGTATAACTACAAATATCATTATTGACTTTATATATAGTATTATTAAGTATATAATTATAATCATAGACAGAGCATAATTTATAAGACTCAGGCTCAGGTGGTTCGTTGGTGGAATGAGGAAAATTGCGTAACAGTGGTGTATTATTGTAATAAGTCAATGTAATGAAAACATTGAAATCAAACACCTGACAAGTTCCTAGTAAACTGAATAAAGGTTAATTCATAATTCATAATAATATATTTATTTATAGTACCTACTACCTATCTGCTGTAATTGTAGAGTTTGCTTTGATGAAAAAAAGAAAATTAGTAGAAAAAGAAAACTATTTGTAAACATTTTACTTTATATAGTTCTTTTTATCGTAATAATAAAGTTTTATAATGTTAATACCGTTTTATATTTGATCTAAGTCATAGAAGTTAATTTGATTTTTTTGTAAAATAAAAAAGTACACTAATCGAAATTGTTTTATATAATTTGTATATTGTATGTATTTATGTATATTGTATTTATTTAATATTAATAGAACTGTGTATATGCTGGTATCCTATGGCCCTATGTTGATACTACTGGGTAGGTAAGTAGGTTCGTTCTCATGTCGAACAGAGTACCAATATAAAAAAATTTATAAATAATACATTAATACCTATAACTAGACACTATAGTAATTACTAATTACTATTAATTTACTAATTATATAGTGTAAGCTATTACTGCAGTTATGACACAGCACGTCGGATATATATCGAGGACACGTAGAAGTCGTAGGGAATTTTAACGCGTCCCCAAATGGTTAAACTGCGATCGCCGTAATCGTGAACAGACTAGCTGCTTGCTGTCCTTAAAAAAAACAGGTTATCATCATTTCTCCAACAATCCTACCTCCGCAACTCCSCAAGTTCTAAGGTTCCGATTGTCATCGTATTTACGTGTTTTCTTCGTGCGTAGGAATTGCCCACTGCTCGTGGTTATTTTGTGTTCATCTTCAGCTATAGTCACGATATTAAAATAATTTTGTGGAAATCGTTATACAATAATTAGTTTAAGTTTTGTCACCACCTTACATATATCATATTAATATATTATCTAATTTTTCAATTAMTAATCACCGTCGTTCTAACTTTTTGAAGTTTACGAATTCCGTTTCGTTTTTCAAAACGCTTTAGTTGTTTTTATTGTTAAATTTCTTAGTAGTGTGTAGCTCAATTTTTCTGTTACTCTTTCAAGTCATCGGAGGAAGGTATGTTTGATTTATCTGACAAGCTTTTCAGTTAATAACAATTTTTTTAATGTGTTATTGATTGGTATTAGTCTGATTTTTTTGTGTTTTACTCCTATAGTAGGCTTATTTCATCTAATCAACCATGTCTGAAGGCGAAGCTGGAACGGATAGTGAAACTAGACCAAAGGGCGTTGAAGCTCTAAAACAACACGTTATCTCACATAAAGTTGAAGTATCTCTTTGGTGCACAAGATTGGCAACAATCATTTTTACCTTTGCATACATCCTGCCACTTTTCTGGTAAGTTTCATTTTTTTTCATTTTTTAGATACTGAATAACCTTGTTATCCATTTTTATGACAAATACAAGTTACCTACTTAAAATTTCACATTATTTAGGTCAGAAAATAAACTACCTAACTACTAAAATATAACTTTCTATTATTATCATTCTCAATTAGAGAATCTTATTTATATTAGGTCCGTTTTGATTTTTAACATTACTCGTCTTCTATTATTTTAACTAAAATTGTAAATTTGTATTTTTTAAACACTATTTTTAATACTTTTACCTGTAGATGTTATTTCAAGAAAAAAATTAATCAACTTTTTTCCATGTGATTATATAATGTTCTTTTAATCTTCTTTACAATTTTGCCTGAATATGAAGCTATGAAATATTACTAAAGTGATTTGATGTTTATTAATCCTAAGTCATAGGGCAGTTATATAATTATATGATATATTGCATATTCTATACCTAAGAGTAGATCTTAGAATTAAAAAAAAAATCCAAAATGTACACCAATAATAGTCATATAAATAATGTCAAATATTTTAGCTAAATATTGTTTTGAGACTAATACCTGAGTGTTGTATTTTTTGATTTTTAATAAATTTAATATTATATAAGAAATGTATCTTTAAAACAGTATATAATCAATAATCAGCGGAACACAGGTAATAACTTAATTTAAAAAAAAATAAAGTTAGAGTAGGTAGTTGATAGGTATCTAATACTTAAATTATATCAACTGTATCTCCTAGAAAGCTATTAATATTAAACAATCCTAATATCAGTTCGTATAAAATTTATATTTTGTTTGGGAATATAATCGTTGATAAAAAAGCAAACTTTGTTGATACTTGATATTTTATTATGTTCCACAGTACCTATACCTATATGGCTATATTTTATTATATACTTTCCATTTAAATTCTCATACCTAATCATACATAGCTTATTTAAAAAATATAGATTACTCTTTTGGTATCAATCTAAACTTTTTTTGTTAATTAAAGTATATTTTAAAAGTAGGTAGGTATTACTAAATATATTTTAAACAGAAAAATATTGATTATGTTAATTAAATATCTTGTCTTTCTGAACATGTTTGAGCATTTTACAAGGCCATCATAATGTGACCTTAAATTTAATTACTTATTCTAAAATGTTATTATTTTACCTATATATACTGAACAATCATGCTACTTAGGTACCTATATAATCGTAAATATTAATAGGTTTTATTAAAACAAAACTTWTGAATGTAGCTACAAAATATAATTTTTATCCATGAATGTTTGTTAATTTACAGTTATCATTAATATATATCTTTTTTAAACATTCAAAAATATGATAAGAAGGTTTGCGACGGGTTGCACTTACTTTTAACTTTATCTATCTTATTGTAGAGATGAGGAGCAATGTAATAATAATATTTGTAAATCAATTTCAAAAGTACCTTTTACACAGTACCTGGGTATTACCTATGATGAAAAAGTAAGGTGGAATGTACATATAGATAACATTGTTAATT